ATCAGAAGAGCAGACGGATGGAATGAATGTATATTCTCTTTCTCGGACATCACTTTCCAGGTTGTGCACAAATTTGCCTTGCAAGCACTGTAGCAAAACGGTCAACCTGATCGGAGCTCGGTGACACGGTCGCGACATGAAAGTGGTCTGATTTTGATCCAGAGATGATGGATTTTAATTCTTAATACGCCAATCGATAGGAACTTTTTCTACAAATCTGTTAAAATTAAGACTTAATCATTTTTCGAAATGTCACTATTGAAAATTGCACGAATATGCAACTGTTGCTATGATAATTAAAATAATCACCCATTGCCCGCGAAAAGTGATTTCCCTAACACAGATTTCAAAGTTGAACTCCTTCCGGTCTCACCAAACGGTGTTTATTCAATCACCACGTTGTGAGTGGTGGTATTCTCCATAGAAGGAGGAAGAAGCTTCATACTAAAGAGTATGAACAGAGAGAACTCCGCGCAAATTCCTATTCCTACACAAAACACAAGCTCCTGCTGCAGTTAACAAATAAGATTTATTATATAAGACCACGTAGTCCTACGTCACCATTGCGCACAACTCCATAGGGCTGTCCCTTGTAGTTTTTATTTGATTTTTTTTCACGGCATACTATGTTAGAAAGAGTTTTTTTTTTCATTTACCAAATCAAGCAACTTTCTAGAATACCTCAACACGCTACCTCACAAAAGCAACATGTTAAGAGCGTTTATTGTGTTTATTCCGCTTCTCGCGTGACGCGTACCGAGTCGACTCGTTTATGTCACCCAATTCCCGTTCTCGAATAGAGTGACAATTGTCGATACGAATGAACTCCGATGAACTTTCGGTGTATTCCCATAGTCGATGTATATCGACAAAACTCGGATCGGAATGACGTTTTCATGCGAGTGTTGTCGATACGTCAGAAGCAATCGAGAAGGCTTGAAAATCGAGAAAATGGAAGTGAAGCGGTAAGTTTTATTTTTTATGCTTTTGAAAATACTTTTTTATCATAAAATTATATTATTGCAGAATCCGTGTGACAAACCAAAAGCAGTTTGCTTTCCTGGTTGATCGGATGGAAGCACACGGTTGCCAGAGGGCAAAAATTTTGCGAGGCAGCTGCAATAGACCGGCAAAAGTACCACGCGTCAAGGTCCCCCGACTCGGGATGTAAAGGGCTGGCAAAAGGTAAGTTATTAAATTTATGTTCATGCCGTTTTAATAGAAAACATTTTACCGTTATGTGCATGAGGAATTTTCTGCTCTCTGTTTCTCAAATGTAAGCTTGTATAAGGTACCCCCGAGGAGCGGATTGGTCACGTATTTTCGATGCAGCAAAACACATTAAAAGCGCATATTCTTAGCACAAAAAAGTGGGACCTGTTAAAAATAACTGATTCCATTTGAATTAAAGTTATGTTTACCCTTCGCTACAAATCGCTTAAAAACCCGACTTTTGATCCGAGGCCCACAGGGCCAAGTGACATACCATTCTACTCAGCTCGACGAGATCGGAACATGTGTGTGTGTGTGTTTTTTTTTTGCAAGGAAGAAACCTTTAAAAAGGCCATTATGCCACCACTTGACGACCGGGCGCACGGTCACGGTGACACTGTGTGTGGGATTCTTACCGCACTAAAACCTCCTTGGACACCTTGCCCTTTTCCCCCGAAACCACTTGTCGTATTACTTCGTAAGGTTCAAATCTCACCATATGTGGATAAATTCAGGTTTTTAGTTTTAATTAAGCAATATGCTTGTGTGTTTATGTCAGATTATCATTCATCGATAAAATTAATAAATGGTTTTAAATGGAGACAAACACACTCATTTGCTTTAACAAATTTTTTATCCATATTATTTTAAACGATCTATAAAATTATTTTAACGCTATTGAATATTTCCGGAATTGGTACACAGGTTCCGGAGATACGGCCTGAACATGTTACGGAGGAACACTCATATGGAAATTCAATTCTGCTCACAACACTCTTTTTGACGTTCTTATATTCACCACCAGAGGTTGAATCGATCGCTTAGTTTCTATTAAAAAGGCGTACAAAGCATCCCTAATAATAATTGTATGGTTAATTTGCTTAACGACGTGTTCTGGGTATCATCCAAACCATTTGTGGAATAGTTCAATGATTTGGGTTATCGTTCGTTTATGGTTATTTTTTATTAGGGATATTCTGTTCTGTTTTTTAGTATGTTTTCTGTCTTTGCAGGTTTGGACAGATTATAAAAACACAATCAAACAAAAGTTATCGTACAACAATCGCGAGACTATAGCTACCGGTGGTGGGCCGAACACAATGAAGGTGTTATCACCAACTGAGGATGCAGTTGTTAAACTGCTGTCCCTGGACAAAACGGTAAATAATTCCGGTATGTATATGCAATCTAAATTAGTTTGGATATGTACAATACATTCATTTATAGGTTCTAGATTTGGTCTGCCTGTGACTGTTACATCACCACTAAGTCCTGAACCGGGTCCCAGTCAACCGCGTAATATTCTGTCGTCACCGGGACCGCCACTTCTCTCCAGTACAATGGAAGCTTACGCCAACCCGACTGAAGTAGATGACCCAGTTGACGAGGTAGTAGAAGATATTGAGAACAACAATAACAACAGCAGCTCTCGTACCGCGCAACGCAAACGACGGCATCCGGATAGTAAGGATTTGCGGTATAACTTGCTGGAACAACAAACGGAATATTTAAAAAAGATCGTCGAGAATACCGGAGAATGCGCACGGTACTCCCGAAAAGTCTTCAAACTACGAGAGGAAGAAGCGAAACAACGACGTGAATATATGCTACAAAAAACAAAAGATAGACAAGCAGAATTGGAGTTCAAAATTGAATTGTTGAAGTACAAAAAGGAAAAACTTGAAATTTTGAAATACAAAGAGTGTCAGGAATAGAAATATGATTCAATATCGAAACAAACCCACTTTTTAAATAAAAATAAATAAATAATTTGAACAACCTACTTGCTTAAATAACTAGTCCGCTTTTAGAGAAAGAAGGTTTTTTGTGCAATATTTCCGTCTTGTTTATTTGGTCAAATTCCGATTAACTTGCTTGGTTTCGTTATTCGGTGGACATGAGTCTCTGAGTCTTCAGCTCAGTGGTTGAGGAGATATGCCATTTAGAAACATGACCTCACAATCTGTGTGTCTGTGGGTGTTTGGATCCGAGTCCAAGATCCCAGCGGCCGTCGGGGTGGGTGTCCGTGGGTTCCAGTACAGTAAAACCGGTTATATTAGCGTCGTTTTATCGTTTCTGACACTGGCCTCATACCGGCTTCTTTCTACGTTTGGTGTTGGAGGATGATCTGTTTTTCTGTCGACGTCGGTGGGGGTGAGGATGATATGGGGATCGACATCAGAAACGACGGAGTGACGTTGATATTGTGGGGTTTCAAAATGAACACCATTGTCATGTACACAATTCTTTGCTTCACCGATAACCATTGCAAAGCGTGCAGCATCAAAGTTGAGAAAGTGAATCATATTACAACCGCATTATTTTATTCTGCAAACGCTGTAATCTCCGAGGGGGGCGACACATCTAAATCTCAAGTTTGATGCTCAAAAAATCTCACACTAGCGAATCAATCTTCGAAAAATCTTCTTTCATTTATCGCATCAACTTGCATCGCTCATCATCTTTTTGTAAGAAATCTTCAGAATCGTCATCAATCTTCTTTCTATCTACTCAGTGTGCGCGCAGCTAGCCACAGCAAAACACAATCTTTATTGCATTGTAGTTAGAGACGTCCCCCTCGAGATTAGGGGAGATGATTGATTTGTATATCTGTATTTTACTACTTTTTTGTTTCTTTATTTAAGAGATTTTCATATTTTACTACTAATGGTAAAATCATTTTTCAGACGACATAGAATTCCATATCTTTAGCTATTTTTTGATGACATTGCGTTGAACTTAAGTTTGTCTAGTTGAAGATGCTAATTTCCAAACCTACGACTGGATGCCTTCCTTCAAATAACAACTGAAGTGCGTTAAAAATCGGTAAAACTGTTTCAAACACATCGTTGGTACTTGAGCGGTCGGCGTTCATCTCTTTTTGCCAGTGGTGGCAGAGGAGGGACACACCCCTCACCATCCCTCTTCAAAGGAGAGTTTGGTAAAGAGAGATGATAAAACCGATTTGTACCTTCCTTAAAAGTTGTCCTAGCTCGCTATCTACTATTTATATGCAATTTTCACACTGCCGGATTTAAATACCTTTCGTTTGGCGACTCAAATATGGTTTAGGAGATATGCTGTTTTGTACGAATAATCCGATTTTTTCTGATCTTGTTTTATCTCCGGATCCTGTAAATGTTATTATTGTGGTCGAATAAACAGTCAACATAACAAAAATTGTAACAAAATAATACTCCTTCGATATCACAAATATAACTGATTTAGTTATCATTGAAAACATCTTGATAACATATCCTGTATCTATGCATTTTTTTGTTTAACAAATTTCAAATTATTTTATATTGGGGAAATGTCTCTAATGTTGGCCTATGGATCTAAGATTGGGCCCGTTGCTAAAAATCTGCTATTTATTAATTTTATCGCGTTATTAGTTACGCGTTGTAGTTGCCTGTAATTTACTGATTACCAATTCACGATATATTTCACGTAAAGCTGAGCGATAATACAAAACCATTAATGGACCTTACTGACTACCATAACCATTACCATAAATGTTCTCAAATCATAAGTTAAAACGTTCTTATATAGTTCTCTTTCTGTAAATGTATGGAGAAAACAAGAATTTGGAATGGTAATTGTTCTTAACAACCCATTATTTGTAAGGTCCAGTTCCAAAAAACCATAATACATAAGGTTGAAACTTTATCATTAAATGTTCATGTAAAGTTCCATAACCATTTCAGTTTAAGTTTAGCAGGGATTATAAACAATTTTTAACCATTTTAGGTAAGGTCAATTTATGGTTCGCCTTTATGCGGGACTCCTTAAATTAACCTGGAGTATTTTTGAAGTCCATATTGTCTTCTTTCTTGTTTATGATTCCAAAAATGTGGGCTTTTATACTAACTATTTTTCAACATTTATATTTCCTTCATGTAGTATTCAAGCGATAGAGTACATTATTTGCTGTCTTATTTCGTTTGCTGATGCATCATTTTCATTATCATGTGCATTATCTTCAATTTGATGAATATCAATCAACTCGTCAAAGTTATCATCTGGAAGATTAAATTGTTTTCTCAAATTGTGCAAAGCACAGCATACATTAACAATTTTTGCAGCTTTTTCTGGTTTGTAGTGCAGCTGACGAGCTCCTAAGATGCACCTAAACACATTCTTCATTACTCCTATAGTTCTCTCAATTAGCATCCTTGTTTTAGAGTGAATTTCGTTGAATTTAGTCTGCCTTGCATCGCCAGAACTACGGAATGGTGTAATCAAATAAGGTTTTAAAGGGTATCCTGCATCTCCTGAAACCAAATACAAAAAGCCAAGTTTAGTTTTATTTAGCTTGACACACAAAATTACCGAAGCTTACCCAAAAGCCAAGTATTTCTTTCTCCATTCTGGTATTGCTGACTCAACTCAACATCTAATGGATTATTATTCCAAATAAACGAGTCGTGATTGGCACCGGGACTGTTTGCATCCACGTAACGGATCATCTGTTTATGATCGCAGACCTGAAATCATGATACATAAGTAATTCAAGTTTTTTCAGCAATTAAACATTCATACAAGCATAACGTTCAAACTATGAAAGCCTTTTCTGTTGTAATATAGGTGCTGAATATCACCAACAGGCTTAACAATCCTGACATGCGTACCATCCACGCAACCTATTACGCCGGGAAATCCAGTTTTTTCGTAAAAGCTGTGCTTGATTTCACGCTTTTCGACTTCTGAAACAGGGAATTTTATTGCTGCTGGACAAATTTCTGCTTCGAACACATCGATAACAGCGGATAATGCCTTCGATAGTGTGGGTTGTGCCATTCCAGCAAAGAAATCGTTGCCAACACCTTTCTGATAGCTCCCTTCAGCGAAGAATCTCAACGCAGCTGAGAGCTTTAACATCGGCTGCACATATGAAGATTTGGTTCCTCCTAATTTGCCATCCACAATGTTCAATAAATATCGGAAAAGCTCTTTCGATACACGAAAGTAATTTAAAAATCTGTAATCGAAAATAGTTTTAAGCATTAAGATATCTATAGATTTCAGCAAGTACTCACAAATTTGATGGCATATCCAAGGGATTACTCAAATCCCTCAATCTGCGACGCTCAACTCGCACCGTTTCAAAATGTAAATCCTCGATTTCATCCTCCTCATCACTAAACCAAAACTCATAACTACTCATTGTGAAAACCAAAAAACAGAAAACTCACAACTATTAGAAAAAAAATCCACGAAACACCGGGTTTGACCACGATTGGTAGATTCACAAAAAAAAAACGGATCCTTGAATTAACAACAACAAACCTGCACCTCTCTCAAACAAGGACCAAATTACATAACCGGTCGTGCTATCGAAATGGCAAAGAAAGTTACTTAGAACCTTAAGTTATAGTTCCCAAACGATAGAAAAACGTATGCTCTATTGTTTTTATCCGTATCTATGATATTATTTATTGATATTTATTCCAAAATCAAATTACTGTTTTGTTAGAAAATACTGCATACGCCCTTATCATAGCTTGAGCGATAAACTTTTTCAGTTTGACGTTTCTATAAATGAACAGCACTTCGCTGTCGATTCATCCTTCCTCTCGATGCAAAATGAACAACTCGCGTCGTGCGAGTCGACATTCGGAATAGAGTGAGAATTGTCACGCGAGAAGGAAACGAGAATGGTCATCTCGACTCGCGCGAGAAGTGGAATAAACACATATGTGTTCAAAACATATGATATTCCGGTGTATAATTTGCAAATTGGGGCAACCAGTTTTTTAAACGAATAACGTGATCAAATTTAACGTGCTTTGATGAATATTTTCATGTGGAAATATTAGAGGGAAAGTTATTTTTCATTACAGGAGAGCTAATTTGAAATATTGGTTTTTGACTCAATTTTACTTTTGGTTCTTTTCTGAACTAACTTTTTTATATGATGGGTTTTGGATCAAGTTCGGTTCTGGCCACTTCCCCGGTGCACCCGTAATATGCCCGGAAATGGCCAATGAAGTCCAAGCCACTCGATATGGCTAAAATTGATCTTGTTATCGAATTTTGATGTAATTGTATGTGTCGCATAATGAGTTTTGGATCAAGTGTGTTGGCCATTTCCCCGGGGCATCCGGGACATGCCCGGAAGGGGCCAATGTGATCATAGATACTTAATCACCCATATTCTTGTTTTCGTTCGAACCGTATTTTCCGTACAAAAAAAAAGTTTTTTTGTATGGAAAATACGGACCGAACGAAAACAAGAATATGGATGAATATGGACACCATTGATCTTGTTGTTGTTGTCATCTTCTCTTTTGACAGCGTTAAGATTTTTCCCCGCACGACCACAAATAGGATTGGGTATTGGTACCGGTAACATCATTCACAACTTTTGTATCGACCATACTGCCCAAGTAACATTGCAAGTTTTATCACGGTTTTAAAGCATATTACAAGTGTAAATCATAGTCTGCAGAACCCTCATAAAACCCCAATTGCTACTTCGGTGAAATACAGTTTTGGAACAACTGGAAGCTCGATACCATTTGATCGGTATATGGTTGGATTTAGCAGACCGATTTGCCCCAACAAACAATTTGAGTTGATCAACAGCTGAATAAGCTATTTTTTAGCTTAAGAAGCATGTTTTTGCCTGAATAAGCTCTTATTCAACATTCAATGTTTGTTGGGGCCTTTCCATATGCTCAACTTCTTGTGACGTTAATTGTGCATTTTCTTTGGCAACAGTCATTTTATTGGGTGACATAAAGTAACTGATGATGGTAGAGTATTGACTCAAACAATTTCCTCCGTAGCTGACCCAGTTTGCTTTGCTACTATACGCAGATGGGTCGAGAATACGAATATGTGCGAATCATACTCTTTAATTTCACCGTCTTTGAGCTCGTCACTAAAACCTTGCTTATATTTGGCGTGATTACTGCTGCCATCATACATCCACTTGTACATAACGGTTAATTCATAGCTACCATAGAACTGTTGCAGTTTTTCAACAGGAACCTGACTGCTTATTAAGCGGGTTGTAGTGTGGTCCAGAAGTTCTTGAAGCCTAACTTCTGCCACGGATGGCGAAATCGATATACCTGTATAAGGCATAAGTGTAATTACAGTCTAAGTTCATTCTACAGTCCCTTTTAAATTTTACTTGATGGGTAATACATTTCATTTGTTTCGAGAATTTTGCCATATGCTGGATACATATCTGCGCCGATTTACAGAATACTAAGCTGAATACTCGTGTATTGCGCTTTCGAGAAATTATGTTTGCATATAAACGCAAGAGCTTCTTCTGGGGAATACGAATTGATTTTGGTTTCTGAGGTTTCCATTGAACTTGGTGCTTTCATGATGTTCTCTACAATCTCGGCGTTCTTCTTTCCTGTTACGTAAAATAAGATAATACATTTGACATTAATTTTCAAATATCATCAATTTGATTCGATTTTCCTTCATCAGATAAAAGTTGGTGATATGTGGAAAAATAAAGAGAAATATGCAGAAATATAATCATAGAGCTTACAATTGAATACGATAAACCCCAGCGCATATCATTGTCAAGGATCGGTATCGGTTGTTTGTTCATTTTGATCTTACGGTACTTTTCGCAGCAAGTTTTGATTTCACCTGATTCACCCTTTCTTGCTCCTTGTTCTGTTTCCTGCATTAGTTCGTGTCCATCTTCTTGTTTAGCTTCTTGGTCAGCGGCACTTCCAGATGCGTTTTCTTGATCAAGGAGTTCGGTTTCAGAATCGATCACTACTTCTTTGACACGTACAGAGGTATTCAACTTTTTTTTAGATTATGTCGGAATTGGGCAACTTGACCACTTGTAGGGTTTGGTTGATGGTTATGTTCTGAGATGCCGAGTATTTTATGCTGCCCGTTTACTATCGTTGATCTGGTTCTTGCCGAACACTTTTCTCTATCAGCATGACAGCGGACACGGCCCTCCCAATAATAGATGTTGCTCTCGATCTTAAAAGAAACAAAAATTGTACAGCTGAGTGATATTTTCGCTGTGATTAATTATTACAATTACCTTTTTGCGATTGCAGTAAAATATGTAGCCCGCTATAGACGATTTTACGACCTCAAAGTTAACCCGAGTAGGTGAGAATAGCAAACCAATAGCAAGTTTTGCTATTAAAAACAGGATATCAGAACATCTCAATTTGTTATTAGTTTGATTGAAATAAGAGTTAAAATATCAAAAATAATAACGGAAACCGTTCGGGAGAAAAACTAAATAATAGCATGTTATTGTAATATCAAACTAAGAACAAAAAAATAAAAAAAGGCCAAAACATATTTAGCTATTATTGAGATATTAAGATTTAATCAATTGCAAAATGTGTTATTAACTAATAACAACTAATTAAGAATAAATTCAGTTGTTCGGATTGAATAACAAAATAATAACAGCTTTAGTTATTCTTCTTGGAGAGCTTATAATAATAGTATTTTTTTCGGTGGAGAATCAGTTTTACTGATAATAATGATTGAGTTCAACAATTCGGCAAAGCTTTTTTTATTTGTTATAATAATAACGATAAAATCAACATGAAATAAAAACGTAACTTTATAAAAAAAAACGAACAATGGCTGAACAAAATAGATTTGAAGTGTTGTAGTATTTTCTCTAGCGTAACTTGTGTCGTTTTCTTTGTTGTCGTACATTTGTACGCTTCTTATGATGTCCTATTGCGTTGGCACCTGGCGCAACACAGGATTATTCGCCAGCGCGGTTGCGATGTGCTTATTTATTTGTTGGGACAAATGCTGAGCGACCCTTACTGGGTCCTGCACAATTCGTCTTTCTCGTACAGCCGACCTAGCGATTGATAATAATGATTATAACGTATGCAAAGTTGAAAAGATACTATTTACCTTTCATATATTTAACTTTTTCAGGATCCATTTGAACAACCGTTTGAATGTTCTGATTTGGCTCCGGGGCTTTCTTGCTGCGTCCTCTGGGGTTGTTAGAACACCTGCCGGTCACTGAACTCTTTCACGAACAGATAATCACTCTCGTGTGCATCTTGCGATACCCTCAATAGCCAATTTGAGTTGGGGTATCCTGGGATGTCGGAGAATGATAATCCCATAGGTTTCTCCACCAGAGATTCTTGAAGCTTCATGTTTAGATGGCGCAGCTTGCAGTTTTCCTCCCGGAGTTGCTTTATTTCCGCTGACATTATGTCGATTGTCTGACGTAGCTCATTCACCGTTCTTAAATAATCAACATTCGGTTCTGGCACACCAACTTCAGCATATCCCACAAACAAACTTGTACTACTGTCTGAGTACTCAGGGCTAAAAGCAGAGTTTGCAGAAGTTGTTCCAGCATATTCATGGTCTTGAAAATTTTGTGGAGTCCCAGACGTGCAAGGAAAGACACTACTGCCATGATTTGCAGAAGATGGCCCTGCAGATTCTTCGTCAGTAGACTGACCAGTTATCGGGACTCCACACATAGCTGGAACGATAGGACCGGTGCTAGCGGCACTTTTAGCGATTTTTGCCGGGCGTTTATTTTGTCCTTGCGTCCTCTGGGGTTGTTAGAACACCTGCCGGTCACTGAACTCTTTCACGAACAGATAATCACTCTCGTGTGCATCTTGCGATACCCTCAATAGCCAATTTGAGTTGGGGTATCCTGGGATGTCGGAGAATGATAATCCCATAGGTTTCTCCACCAGAGATTCTTGAAGCTTCATGTTTAGATGGCGCAGCTTGCAGTTTTCCTCCCGGAGTTGCTTTATTTCCGCTGACATTATGTCGATTGTCTGACGTAGCTCATTCACCGTTCTTAAATAATCAACATTCGGTTCTGGCACACCAACTTCAGCATATCCCACAAACAAACTTGTACTACTGTCTGAGTACTCAGGGCTAAAAGCAGAGTTTGCAGAAGTTGTTCCAGCATATTCATGGTCTTGAAAATTTTGTGGAGTCCCAGACGTGCAAGGAAAGACACTACTGCCATGATTTGCAGAAGATGGCCCTGCAGATTCTTCGTCAGTAGACTGACCAGTTATCGGGACTCCACACATAGCTGGAACGATAGGACCGGTGCTAGCGGCACTTTTAGCGATTTTTGCCGGGCGTTTATTTTGCGGAGTAACATTTTCCTTTAGCTGTTCCTCTTGAACCTGCAATTTTAAATTTAAGGTTAGAACTAAAAAAGTACGAGAACGAAGAGGGAGTTTGACAGTTGTT